GTGTCTGAGTCTCTGTCTGTGTCTGTCTGTGTCTATCTCTCTGTGTCTGAGTCTCTCTGTGTCTCTCTCTCTCTGTGTTTCTCTATTACTCTGTCTCTCTCTGTGTTCTTTCTCTATGTGTCTCTCTGTATTTCTCTGTAACTGCCCATGTTCACCTGCGTGTGCCTATGTGTATATTCATGTTTCTCTCTTTCTGCTTCGCTCCTGTATATATGTTTGAACTTCTTTCACACCGTACGTGCTCCTATCGCGCCATGAAACCCGCCCGGATGACTGAGCATGCGCGACTGCGTGGGGATCAAAACTAAAATAACCACTCGAGGGAGGCGTCTTCTGACCCAACGCTGACGATGGACTCGCCCCAGAGTTCGCATCTGCAGAGCGCCCGGAGCACGTCCACGGCATCAAATCATAAAACACCCAGAGAGGCTGGCGGGCGATGGGCGGTCGCGGGGGAAGTGCGGGGTGGTGGTGGCTGGCATCGTGCCCTCTGTGGGTAATGGAATTGCTTTCGAATATCCACTTTGACTGGCGCGCCTCCGACATTAATTGCATTAGCATAATGCCCGTGACCCAGATGAATGCCATTGACCCGTGCGGGATCATAAGAGCTTGCGAGATTGTAAGAGCGTGTGGGATTGTGAGAGTCTGTGGGATTGTGAGAGCGTGCGGGATTGTGAAAGCGTGCGAGATTGTGAGTTACTGCGGTATTGTTAGTTCCTATGTGGTTGTAAGAATGTGTGGGATTGTAAGAACGTGTGGGATTGTGAGATACTACGGGATTGTGAGTTCCTATGGGATTGTAAGAACGTGTGGGATTGTAAGAGCTTGTGGGATTGTGAGAGCATGCGGGATTGTGAGAGTGTGCAGGATTGTGAGAGTCTGTGGGATTGTGAGAGCGTGGGGGATAGTGATAGCGTGTGGGATTGTGAGAGCGTGCGGGATTGTGAGAGTCTGCGGGATTGTAAGAGCGTGTGGGATTGTAAGAGCTTGTGGGATTGTGAAAGCGTGCGGGATTGTGAGAGCGTGCGGGATTGTGAGAGTCTGTGGGATTGTGAGAGCGTGCGGGATAGTGATAGCGTGTGGGATTGTGAGTTCCTATGGGATTGTGAGAGCGTGCGGGATTGTGAGAGCATGCGGGATTATGAGAGCGTGCGGGATTGTGAGAGCGTGCAGGATTGTGAGAGCGTGTGGGATTGTGAGGGTCTGTGGGATTGTGAGAGCGTGCGGGATTGTGAGAACGTGCGGGATTATGAGAGCGTGTGGGATTGTGAGAGTATGTGGGATTGTGAGAGCGTGCGGGATTGTGAGATACTGCGGGATTGTGAGTTCCTATGGGATTGTAAGAGCGTGTGGGATTGTAAGAGCGTGTGGGATTGTAAGAGCTTGTGGGATTGTGAGAGCGTGCGGGATTGTGAGTTCCTATGGGATTGTGAGTTCCTATGGGATTGTGAGAGCGTGCGGGATTGTGAGAGCGTGCGGGATTGTGAGAGTCTGTGGGATTGTGAGAGCGTGCGGGATTGTGAGATACTGCGGGATTGTGAGTTCCTATGGGATTGTAAGAGCGTGTGGGATTGTAAGAGCGTGTGGGATTGTAAGAGCTTGTGGGATTGTGAGAGCGTGCGGGATTGTGAGTTCCTATGGGATTGTGAGTTCCTATGGGATTGTGAGTGCGTGCGGGATAGTGAGAGCGTGCGGGATTGTGAGATACTGCGGGATTGTGAGAGTCTGCGGGATTGTAAGAGCTTGTGGGATTGTGAAAGCGTGCGGGATTGTGAGCGCGTGCGGGATTGTGAGAGTCTGTGGGATTGTGAGGGCGTGCGGGATAGTGAGAGCGTGTGGGATTGTGAGTTCCTATGGGATTGTGAGAGCGTGCGGGATTGTGAGAGCGTGCGGGTTTGTGAGAGTCTGTGGGATTGTGAGAGCGTGCGGGATAGTGAGAGCGTGCGGGATTGTGAGCTACTGCGGGATTGTGAGAGTCTGCGGGATTGTAAGAGCTTGTGGGATTGTGAAAGCGTGCGGGATTGTGAGAGCGTGCGGGATTGTGAGAGTCTGTGGGATTGTGAGAGCGTGCGGGATAGTGAGAGCGTGTGGGATTGTGAGTTCCTATGGGATTGTGAGAGCGTGCGGGATTGTGAGAGCGTGCGGGATTGTGAGAGTCTGTGGGATTGTGAGGGCGTGCGGGATAGTGAGAACGTGCGGGATTATGAGAGCGTGCGGGATTGTGAGAGCGTGCGGGATTGTGAGAGTCTGTGGGATTGTGAGAGCGTGCGGGATAGTGAGAGCGTGCGGGATTATGAGAGCGTGCGGGATTATGAGAGCGTGCGGGATTGTGAGGGCGTGCAGGATTGTGAGAGCGTGCGAGTTTTGAGAGTCTGTGGGATTGTGAGAGCGTGCGGGATTGTGAGATACTGCGGGATTGTGAGTTCCTATGGGATTGTAAGAGCGTGTGGGATTGTAAGAGCGTGTGGGATTGTAAGAGCTTGTGGGATTGTGAGAGCGTGCGGGATTGTGAGTTCCTATGGGATTGTGAGAGCGTGCGGGGAGTGTGAGAGCGTGCGGGATTGTGAGAGCGTGCGGGATTATGAGGTACTGCGGGATTGTGAGATACTGCGGGATTGTGAGTTCCTATGGGATTGTGAGAACGTGCAGGATTGTGAGAGTCTGTGGGATTGTTAGAGCGTGCGGGATTGTGAGAGCGTGCGGGATTGTGAGTTCCTATGGGATTGTGAGAGCGTGCGGGATTGTGAGAGTCTGTGAGATTGTGAGAGCGTGCGGGATTGCGAGGGCGTGCGGGGTTGTGAGATACTACGGGATTGTGAGAGCGTGCGGGATTGTGAGAGTCTGTGAGATTGTGAGAGTGTGCGGGATTGTGAGAGCGTGTGGGATTGTGAGATAGTGGGGAATTCATGCTTTTTTTCGGTAAAGTCACGTAGGTAAAACAAAATGAAAGAGAACAATTAAATCACGACGTTTCGGAGGCAACACAAGCTTCCGTCTTCAGGTGGAACAGTCACAGCAGAATATCTGTGTCAAGTGCACAGTTCCGAGACGACTTGGATTATATATAGGTCAGGGGGAGGGGGGGAGCCAGAAAGGGACGTGGGTGGGTGGGAGGGCTGAGTTAAGCCGCCTTCTGTTAAACTGCACAAAAGCGGGTGAACAACCCTTTTGTTATGCTGCAGGGGGGTTTTCCGGGGGGAGGCGATGCAAGACATCAAGTAAAGACCAATTTTTTGAAACCTAAAATGAAAACTACGAAAATGGCTGTAAAATTATAAGGTAGCTAAAGTTTGACATACAACCACTGAGAACTGGAAATGGCTGTACAGTGGTTGTATGTCAAACTTTAACTACCTTATCATTTTACAGCCATTTTCGTAGTTTTCATTTTAGGTTTCAAAAAATTGGTCTTTACTTGATGTCTTGCATCGCCTTCCCCCGGAAAACCCCCCTGCAGCATAACAAAAGGGTTGTTCACCCGCTTTTGTGCAGTTTAACAAAAGGCGGCTTAACTCAGCCCTCCCACCCACCCACGTCCCTTTCTGCCCCCCCCCCCCCTGACCTATATATAATCCAAGTCGTCTCGGAACTGTGCACTTGACACAGACATTCTGCTGTAACTGTTCCACCTGAAGACGGAAGCTTGTGTTGCCTCCGAAACGTCGTGATTTAATTGTTCTCTTTTATTTTATTTTACCTACGTGACTTTACCGAAAAAAAACAAAAAGTATGAATCCTTGCAGTCACGAAAGCTTCAAATCTAGAATTAGTGGGGAATTGTAAGAGTTAGCGAGCGGGGAGAGAGAGCAGGCGGCAGCGCTGCTCATTTTCAGTGGCGCTGTCGCCTTGTCGGGATGCGCCTCGTGTCGCCCTGGGACGTCGGGGAAGGAATCCTGCGGGAGCCAGGGGAAGGCTCTTGGGGTCCGTCCGTTGTTCTGCAGCCTCTGCAGAAAGGAGTTTGAGATTGGGTGCCGTGCGCGGCTGAGTGTCCCCGATTAGCACGCGCGCGTGTGTGTAGGTCGACTCAGCCTCGAATGAGTACCTGGTGCGGTGTGTACACATCGCCACTCGGGGAACAAAGGCGGCCGGGCGTGGTTGCTGGCCACCCACTCCCTCGTGTGCCGTGCCGGCCTTCATAGGTGCTACTCGCTAGCAGCACTTGCCCCTCCAGTCTGCTTCGGCTATGCGGGAGATCTTTGCCTTTGTGCAGTGGCGACTACCTGAACCGGTCCTGGGCTTCCCGTAGGTTGACTAAGCCTTTAATGATGTTTGTGTCGTGACAAATAATAATTAAAATGTATAAAGCGCCCTTAAAAAAATGCTCTCAGGCCGCTATGCATGGCAAGGCGGAATATAACTAAAGAGAGAGGGAGGATCATTGTAAACAGAGACGTTTTTAGTCGAGATTTGAAGATGTTTAGTGTCTCGGAAGCCCCCTGACCTTCAAGGGCAAGGAGTACCAGAGTTTAGGCGACTATCTGAACCGGTCCTGGGCCTCCCGTAGGTTGACTCAGCCTCAAATGAATACCTGATGCAGTGTATATAAACGTGAGCACTGGGGGTGCACTTGTGACGAGGCATGATTCTGGCTGCACAGTCCCCCTGTGCTCCATGCTGGCCTTAATAGGTGCGTCCTAACAGCACTCACACGTCTCTTACAAACTACACACGGGGATTTCTGTCCTCCGTGAGTGAGTTAGCGAGAGAAATGGTGCTCTGGCTTCTACAACGCCCGTATGCAGGCGTGCAAATTGAACCAAGCGGATGCGATCTAACTTGTGAAGCTTGAGAGAATAAGCGTGCGTTTAAATTCAACTCGCTGTTTTCAAACACACTTAGAGCAGCGTGCCGTGAAGGGGCGCATCTTGTGGGCACGTGATCGAGACATCCAAAGCGCCCCGCCATCAAGCCCCATGTACAACACAGCGGCAGCCTTGTTGGGCTGGAGCGCTTTTGAAACGCCAAGCTTGATCGTGAAAAACAACAGATCCAATGTGCCCAGAGTTTACATTTTGTTTTATTAGAATGCACACCCCACCGTGGCTCAGAAACATGGACATTGTTCACCCAGCAGTGGATGAAGCATGGAGGATGATGTCGATGCTGGTGGATCAGGTAGGTGGGTACGTAAAGAAACACGTGAATCATGATGCACCTGGCCGGTGAGTAGAGAAGCATTTGGGCTGCGGCAGTGGCAAGCCGATGAGAGCACTTCGCTGTGAGCCCAGTCGCATGAGTTCAATTCCTGCCCACAGATAATATTTCGTGCTGAGTGATATCTGAACTGCCTCTGGTCGGCAGGGCTTTTTTCTCACTAAGTATCGTGTGGTTCACTGGCAGACTGGACGAGGCATGTAACTAGTAGAAACAGCTCCTCTATGTTGAAAGGTATACTGGATGTGTTGTTTTGGTTGCGTAAATATATTTCAGGTGAACCAAACCGGGCATATCTGGCTTAAATTATTCCCTTCCTAAATCGTAGATTCTTTATAAGTTTAATTGAATCGATGGGAGTTGATATAACCCTATGTTCTCTATGGGCGGTCTCCACGTGAGGCCGTGGGTCTGCATGCGAGTGTCGTGGTTTTCCGTGCAACCTCAGGGGGCTCTGTGCGTGGCCGGGCATTGATTTTTCGCCGACTATTTTCTGGGTCACCGGTAGACACGAGTAGGTGGCACGTGACTTGTCAGCAGCCACGGCTCACAGCGAGAGGCATGCCGGCACGGCACGGGTGGCCAAGCCGGCACGTGCCCGGGTGACTTCAACCCCCCAAGACTTGCGGGGTGAATGGACAACTTACATGCCGCGCGGAGGGCATTGTTCTTGTGAATCAATACGCGAGAGGCGACACCTCGCGCAACGGACACACGAGGACATCAGCAGCAGCGCGAGCGACGGTAATTCAATTTCAATTGTGACCTTTTCAGCACCATGTACTTTGCATTCACTTCCATATCTGCAGAGCGCACGAGCCCCGTGATCAATGTATACACACAGTACATATATACACACAGTATATCTCTCCTGTATATATGTATATATGTATGAGCAGGAGGGACGCTGCCGCGGTGGGGTGGTCAGCACGCTGGATCGAACCGGCGACACCGGACGCTATGCCCCAGTCCGTGCACGATGATTGTTAAACACATCCCACGTGACGCACTAAGCAATTAATGCCGTCTGCATTCATAAAGATCCACGAGCTAACATAGAGACCCATAGACTCACAATGAGATCCACGGGCTAACAGATACCCACAGACGGCGGTGTAGCGTGGTTAGCTAGGGCCCTGGTAACATGCATTCAATGGAGCCCTGTGTCCAAATCCTCCCCGTCTTCGTAGCTCGGCAATAGCCCCCTTCCTTTCCCCCGCGCAGTTGCACCGCCTGCACACTCACGAGCTACACGAAGCTGGATTATCGCCGCGTTACGAGTCGCGTCGCATCATCCGCCTCTCGTTAAAAGCCTCCCGACAGTGGCGACTGTCAGCGATGCCAGCGGTCACATTTATTGTGTCCTGTCCCCATTGTTTAAGGTGCCTCAAGATTCGCAAAGCCCGGTCAAGCGGGGCCCATCCCCCCCCCCGCTTCCTGTTTTTACGAAACCACAAAAGTGAAAGTCCAAAGGGAGGAAGCGACGATCGCCCTCGCTACACCAGGGACACTGCCGCTGCTTGAGAACACGGGGAGGGCGTGGGAAGACGCTCAACCCGTCCCACGATGCGCCAACTCGGACGCCTTGAGGCTGCCTCGCACGCGACACGAGCGAGCGACGCGACCCCCGTGCCAGGGCGGTGCACCGGCACCCTACACCAGTGGCGCGGCGTGGCCTGGCACGGACCCGCACGCCCCCACTGTCCCACACCCCCCTGCACTCCGTAGGTCAAACACGTGGGGCCCTATGGCCCGCGACCTCCGGCGCGAAGGCTACGCAACTGCTTTAAACTCGTGACTCCACCCGGCCACCCTCAGCGGTGTCGGCGTTGCACGCTGGCTTCGGGGAAATCGATTCGCTCCCTCCGCGCAAATGCCCCTGGGGCCGCCATCTCCCTTGGGACCAAAGCAAAGGCGCCTGACTCACATTATATGCGGCGGGCATCTCCTAAACACGGTTTGTTGTTGTTGATGTTGTTGTTGATGTTGTTGCTGACGTTGTTGCTACAACGCGATGCGCTCTCGTGACGCACAGCTCGGCGTGTGCTGACGATCGGCTGGAGCCGATGGGGAGGAGAGGGTCGGCCTGGGCCTGAGAGCGCTTGCGTGCACCGAGCTTGGCACGGCACGGTGCCTCGACTCGTCGACCCGAGTACATTTGGACGCTCCCCGCCTTCACCGACCGGCACCGCGCAGCCAGCGTGGCGCAGCGCGGTCAGACGACCCTCCCCGACCGTGTGCGGGCCGGGCCCTCATCCAGCAGTGGATTGACAATCGGAACCCGTAACGCGTGGTCGTCGCTCCGTCATTTCACGTTCCCGTGCCCTCTTCCTCGCCTTCCTCCGTGCAGACCGCGCGACCCGCATCATCCACGGTGGCGGCGGCACCGCCGTCGACGATCGTCGTTCCGTGCGACGACGCTCCGCGTCAGATGGCGCCCTCCCGCCGCTTGCTGTGCCACACGATGAGCCCCGTGGCGGTAGCCACGAGCAGCGCGGGCGCGGCGATGAGGAGCGCCAGCAGCATGGGCGGCGGGTCGGCCAGCGCGGCGTCCTCCCAGGGGCACTCGGAGAAGAAGGCGCGGTGAGCGCCGGCGAAGAAGCGGTCCACGGCGGCGCTGGGCCAGAAGCAGCCGCGCCGTCGCGACGCGGCCTGCGTGCAGTTGGTGAGCTCGCCGTACCACCTGCAGGGCGAGCGGCGTGCGGCACTGCACGTGGGGTGTGTGTGGGTGGGGGGGGTGGGGTGTGTGTAGGCCATTGAGTGTGTGTGGGGTGTGTGTGTGTAGGCCATTGAGTGTGTGTGTGGGGTGTGTGTAGGCCATTGAGTGTGTGTGGGGTGTGTGTGTGTAGGCCATTGAGTGTGTGTGGGGTGTGTGTAGGCCAATGTGTGTGTTTGTCTGTCGGCATCACGGGCCAACTTAACCAGAATTGAAAAATACCCTACCGACCGAGTCGCCCTTGAATAAGAATGTCTTTGCTCCATGGGCTTTACTTGGGAAGTAAACTTCTGATACTTATTCTGAAACGACTCAATTGGGATGACACAGAGCAGACTGATGTTCTGCTAGCACGCTAGCTCCTGAATGGGATTTGGCCCAGGGGAAAAGGCTGCCACAGGGGGGTTCCCCTTTGAACATGTTTTGAGAAGATACGTGGTGGAGCTCGCTCCGTCGCCTGTAATGCGCTCGTTCGTACACCCCGCAGTATTAACCAGGGCGACCCGCGGAATTCGAATCCCGTACAAAGCTCTGCGACAAAGTGGCGATCGCGCTACCGCTGGGCCTGCACGTCGCGCGTCCACTACAACCCCTGGGGACGCGATCCAGATGGGCCGACCGGATTCCGAATGGGAACCTGCGAATGGGAACCCGCGAATGGGAACCCGCGAATGGGAACCCGCGAATGGGAACCCGCGAATGGGAACCCGCGAATGGGAACCCGCGAATGGGAACCCGCGCCCCACGTGGCCGCGGTAGTTGGTAGCTCACCTGGCCGATAGCTCCCAGGTGCACCAGTCGGCGCGGGGCCCCAGGGCCCACATGCGCCGCTCGAACTGCTGCAGGCAGAGCTGCATGGCGCTCGCCAGCAACGCCTCGACGCAAGCGTGCACTGCACACACGCACGCACACATGCACACACAAAGACAAAGATCCCCCCTTATAGCCTTAGCAGACTGTTGGGGCAAGTGCTGTTAGCGAGCAATTATGAAGGCCGGAACGGCACACGCGCAGGACCGGTTCAGATGCTCGTCACTGGTGTTGGCCGTGAGCGGGAATCGAACTCAGGTGGCCGCGTTGTAGCGCAGGACGCTAACCACTACACTATCGCTCCACACGCGCACACACACGCACACATACACACCTACACATACACCCGCACACATACACGTACACATACATATACTGTACACACGCACACATACACACACACATACACACGCACAAAGGTAAGGGGGTGCTGGTGAGCACGGCTTCAGGTCAACACGGCCAGCACCGCGCATGGTCACCACCTTCATCTCCCCGACGCTGACGTTTCCACATCGCACCCCGGGACTGCTTCAAGACTGATTCGACCCAGGTAAGGCCCAGGACCTGTTCAGGTATTCGCCACTGACGATGGCCGTGACTGGGGTTCGCTGCGCAGTGCGCTGTCATCGCAGGGCCGGTGCTGGGTCCCATTTGGGCCTCCCCCCCAGGTGAGCGAGGCGAGTCTCACTCGCTAAGCGCGTGTACACGCGACAGTTTCATTTATTTGGCTATATGTCGGGTGGTGAAGGGTCTTGCCGACACACATTTGTTCAGATGGTTACGTGGCCTAGCCACGTAACCATCTGACACCCTGGCCATTCGGAGCCTGGCCATGCAGCAGTTGTTTTAGGATGGGTTCGTCCACGTGGTGTTGTGTTGCTGTAGTAGTAACCAGGTTCCTGTGGTGTCACCAGCTCCCCCATCAGAAATGAGCATTTATTGCCCAGTGAGTTTTACCTGTCTCAACATAAACCCAAACGAAATCTCGTTCGCCTCTGATTGTTTACAATTGGTTCATCCGATAGCAATCGGACGGCCGTGGCCGAGCGAGCGACATTCTTGCAGAAGGTCGACTGCGTACGGAGCCGAACTCGGGCACACTCCGAGTCTCTGCTGCTGCGAGAGAACTTCCTCACTCACGCCATGTCACCGTGCCCCCCCCCCCCCAAAATGAGTGCGCGCAGTGTCGAGTGGCTCGGCCTCGAGTTCCACACCGCAGCTGCTGCTGCTGCTGCCGCCGCTCCGAGTCTCAGGCTGAGCACTCGCTCGGCACTCACGAGCCCCAGCATCGTCAGTGAACCGAGTAATTCGCCTGCCGCGGAGTGTGAAACAACGAAACAAAAACCCTCCCGCGTAGCCTTAACAGGCTGCTGGGGAGCGGGTGTTGCTTGCGAGCCACCACGTACCAGCACACATCGTGTATCGCACTTGTGGCACGGCAGTCTTGCGTGTGCATATACCGCATGTCCACCACGTGCGTGACAAAGTGAATCGTCACGTGGCACCACCAGCCACGCTCTGTCCACTGCTGGATCAAGAGACTTCGCCACGCTGTGCGCCATTCCTCTCGGTCACGCGAAGTTATTAATTTATACACAACACGGTCACCCCCCACAGCGTCCACGATAAACTTGACCCCAAACCCGCCAGCGTGACCTGGCCGAAAGGATTGGGGGTGGGGTGGCGGGGGCACGTCACGGTCAATGTGAAGCGAACTCAAAGGTTAAAACCTAGAAACGGAATGAGGCACGGTGCCCTCTGTGGCTAAATTTGTCTAATTTGTGTTCCAACATTTTATGGCCTGATTCTAAAAACGTCGGAGGTTAATTGAGTGTGGGGAGCCTTAAGCAGGGTGGGGTAGAGAGTGGGGGGGGGGGCTGCTCATCCTACTCCAGACCCCCCCCCCCAGGACTGCTTCACCCTTACCCCGACGCGAACCCTAACCCGTGAGGGTGCCGCTGGCCGGGGCCCAGCTCCTACCTGGGGCAACCAGAGCCAGCAGCGTGGCACACAGGGCCAGGGGTGCACACCGTGAGGACATGGCCCCTGGTGCCTCCTACAGCCCCGGCCCTCCTGCTGCTGGTCCTGCTGCTGGTGCTGCTGGTCCTGCTGCTGGTCCTGCTGGTCCTGCTGCTGATGCTGCTGGTCCTGCTGCTGGTGCTGCTGGTAGTGCTGCTGGTCCTGCTGCTGATGCTGCTGGTCCTGCTGGTAGTGCTGCTGCTGGTCCTGCTGGTCCTGCTGCTGGTGCTGCTGGTCCTGCTGGTAGTGCTGCTGGTGGTGTTGGTGCTGCTTGCTGGTGCTGCTTGGTGGTCCTGCTGGTGGTGTTGGTGGTGCTGCTTCTGGTTCTGCAGCTGGTGCTGCTGGTGCTGCTGATGCTGCTCTTACTGCTGCTGGTGCTGGTGGTGCTGCTGGTGGCGTTGGTGCTGCTGGTGGTGCTGCTGGTGCTGCGGGTGGTGCTGGTGGTGCTGCTGGTGCTGCGGGTGGTGCTGCTAGTGCTGCTGGTGTTGGTGCTGCTGGTGCTGCTGGTGCTGCTGGTGGTGTTGGTGCTGCTTGATGGTGCTGCTGATGCTGCTCTTACTGCTGGTGGTGCTGCTGGTGCAGCTGCTGCTGGTGGTGCTGCTGGTGGTGCTCTTCCTGCTGCCGGTTCCCTGACGTCGCTCCGATCTGCCCTGCTGCTGCACCTGTTTCTACTGTATCTATGTTAAACTTCTTTCGCACGCTACGTAGCCAACCGTGCTAATCGGAGGTGCGGGGAAAGCACAACGGTGTTGCGTTACCTGCTGCTGATGCTGCTGATGCTACTGATGCGGGTGACTATGGTGATGCTTTCGTCCTGTTGCTGGTGCATGCACTGCAGGAGCTCCTCTAGCTCCTGCTGCTGTTGATGCTGATGATTATGATACCTGATGCTCCTCCTATCGCGTCTCCTTTCGTCTCCCTTCCGTTGCTCTTCCTGACGTCCCAGCTTTTGCTGCTCCTCTACCCCTGCTGCTCCCTGCTGCCCTTACCCCTACTACTGCTGCTGCTTTTCCACTCTCTCCTCGCCTGATCCCCCCTCCTCCTCCTCCTCCACAATGCTGATTCTACTGCGGGTGGTGATGATGATGACGATGATGGCAGTGTCGTTCTCTCACTCGGAGAGCGCACGGCGGAACTCCGACCAAGAATCTTCTCGTAGTCTCGAACCAGACTCGCGCACAGTCACCGACACACACACGCACAGACAAAGCTCCCCCGTGCAGCCCGCACACGATGTTGGAGCAAGTGCTGTTTGCGAGCACCTTTGACCAGAGTCTACCCGGTCCGGCCGCCTCAAGTTTCCCCGGTCCTGACGGCTAAAGCTGAGTCGACCGGCGTGTGGCAAGCCAGAGAGCGCTTGAGACGATCACCAGCGGTGAGACCATCACCAGCTGTGAGAGCTTCACCAGCGGTGAGAGCTTCACCAGCGGTGAGAGCTTCACCAGCGGTGTTCATTCACTCCGAGACTCCGCACGCAAGCCGCCAAGTTCGTCGGCCCAGCGCGATAACCACGACACTGCCGCTCCCCGCACAGACAACTCAAACTCGCACAGACTCGCACTGGCAGCGGGTGAGCTCTGCTCGGGGTAATTATAGCGCTGAGCTGGCGGAGGGGGGTGGGACCCGCCACGTGCCCTCTCTCTCACACACACGCACAGACACGCACGCACGGGCACACACACGGACGCGCACGTACGCGCACACACGGAGGTACGCACACACGCACACCTCCCACGGGACCTCCCTTGGCACACACGTCCATCCTCAGAGATCACACTCGCGCGCCACGGTGAGATTCACAGACCACAGCAGAACAAAACGGTGTTGCCCTGTCTGCTCTTGTTGCTGTTGTTGATCATGTCTATTGTTGTTTGTTATTGTTGTTTTATCTAGTGATGCTAAGAAACGGTTTCAGCCGAGGAAGCGCATTGGACGCCTCCAGTGGTGTGATGGTGGTGATGGTGGTGGTGATTGATGCTGGTGGTGGCATTAGTGAAGATGTCAGTGTTGGTGATGATTGTCGTGGTAATGATGACTATGATGATGTCGTTGATGGTGGTGATGATGCTAATTATGATGTCGGTGATGGTGTCAGAGTATTTATGGAAATATGTTGATAATAATGATGGTAGCGAGGGTCATAACAATGATGGTGATGGTGTTTATGGTACATACGTTTAATAACGATGCTGATGGTGGTGATGATGCTGGTGTTAATGATGGTGGTGGTGGTGATGATGATGGTGATGATGATGGTGATGATGCTGATGGTGGTGATGATGATGATGGTGATGATGATGGTGATGATGGTGATGATGATGATGATGGTGTGGATGCGGTGCAGGACTGGAGAGACTGTTGTGCATTCTGCGCGGTACAGAATGCAGTGAGGCTGTATGAGGCTGTGTGTGGCTGTATGAGGCTGTGTGAAGGTGTGTGTGGCTGTTTGAGGCTGTATGAGGCTGTATGAGGCTGTGTGTGGCTGTGTGAAGCTGTGTGTGGCTGTTTGAGGCTGTATGAGGCTGTGTGTGGCTGTTTGAGGCTGTATGTGGCTGTATGAGGCTATGTGTGGCTGTTTGAGGCTGTATGTGGCTGTATGAGGCTGTGTGTGGCTGTATGAGGCTGTATGTGGCTGTATGAGGCTGTGTGTGGCTGTATGAGGCTGTGTGAGTGGTGGTGTAGTGGTTAGTGCGCTGTGCTACGCTACGAACCCAGCGACCCGAGTTTGATTCACGCTCATGGCCAACACCCAGTGATGATTATCTGAACCGGTCCTGGGCCTCCCTTCGGTCGACTCAAACTCAAATGAGTGTCTAGTGCTGTGTGCAGTAAACATCCACTCGGGAGACAAAGGTGTGTAAACATCGCCACTCGGGAAACAAAGGCGGCCGGGCGTGGTGCTGGCCACCCACCCCCTCGTGTGCCGTTCCGGCCTTCATAGGTGCTCGCTAACAGCACTTGCCCCTCCAGTCTGTTAAGGCTACACGTGGTTAGCGTAGTGCAGTGCACTAACCGCAGCGCCACCGCTCCCACCAATCCACAAGACACGCAGCCACAACTCCCTCTCAAACACTGCAGCACATCCACGCCCACCGCGTCTTAACTCCAACCACCTCTCAACCACGCAACCACTGCCTCGACTTGAGCGCACGATCACCAATTAACGATTGGTAAATTGGTGATCGGTGATGCTGATCATCGATGACGACGGAATAGATTGTGGCGGTGATGCTGCTCATGACGATGGTGATAATGGTGACGATTGGCGGTGGTGATGATGATGATGATGTTGAGAATGACGATCGTTGATAAAAAAAATTATGATGACGATGGAAGCTGATTTCGCTGCTGCTGCTGCTACTGCAATGTAAAATCAGTGCTGCTCCACAACAGTGAAAGTAGGAGAACCACCAAGATATCCGTGAACTCCCTGCCAACCTTCCACAACAACTGCGTGAGGAAAACCTGTCGCATCTTCTGGCCAAACAAGATTTCAAACCGGGACCTGCACGTACATCGAGGCCAATTCAAGATGCGTAACGCGGAACATGAGAGAGAGAGAAGACTCGGGGTGGCTGTGACACGTGCTTAGAAAGGAACCCGAGTGCGTAGCGAAAGCTGCCCTCGGGTGGACACCGCAAGGGAAGAGACCACGGGGCAGGCCGTAGAGCACCTGGTGACGGCACCGTTCAAGACAAACCGGAGACCACGGGGGGCTGTCTTGGGGTGAAGCAGAGAAGGATGCTAAAGACCGCCCGGCATGGCGTGGGCTTGTTGCGGCCTTGTGCTCCACATGAAGCGAAGAGGAGTCAGTAAGTCAGCACTACTGATGATGATGATGATGAGAGAGTCTGTGTAATGAGTAGCTCTCTCTTCGCTGTGTGCGGCGTCGCTGTCTGCCCCGGGATCTCAGTCTTTACTGAGATCGGCTGCCTGAAGTCGCGCACTGATCCTATGGGATCCACACTCTCAACCATCGACAATGCGACTTAAACATTCTGACGATGATGATGATGAAGCTTGGAAAGCCGAATGGAGTTCGCAAGAAGAAGTCACGAACAACAAACACCTCCTCCTCGGCAGAGACCCGATAACGCAGAAGATCGATGGCTTTGATCTTCATCCCTGAACCTCCTGGGGCCACAACCGTTGAACCGCATCCACTGCACAGAGACCGCTGCAGAACAGATGCGGCACTCGGTGATGCTGAAATGAAACTCTCCGGCAGTGTGTGGAGACAGCGGTCACCACCCAGAATAACTCACAGCGACTCCATGCCCGATTCACAAACACGGTGGCGCTGATTCACCACTCCCGCTCACTCATCACGCAGTCGTCTGGCTCATCACCCACCTCGATGTAAAACCACAGTTGCAGCTCTCCATCAACACGGGGCCATCTGCGCGAAGCGTCCGGGCGGATCGCGATTAATATCAATGCGACTCCTGCTGCTGCTGCTGATGATGCGACTGATGCTGCTGCTGCATTCCCGCCTGCTGCGCGTGAATCGTATCTGACTTCTTGTGAAGTGAACGCGCAGCACTGCACGCCAAGTCACGGGGTGGGTGTCTTTGGACAGATCTCATCCCGAATGCGGCACCTTCAAGAAATGAAAACTCATTTCTTCAGAGCTGCTTTTTGTGCTTTAGTTTGTTGACCTTCCCCCGGAACCTCCGATTAGCACGGTTGGCTACGTACGGTGCGAAAGTAGTTCAACATACATACATACTACATACATACAACATATATGTTGCCGGTCGATTGGCGTCTTGGCCCTGTGGGCCACTGCGCTCAGCAACCCGTGGATTTACTACAGTCACCGAGAATGCGCCCGATGTCGCCAGATCTCAGAAGCTAAGCAGGTGTTGAGCCTGGATATTGATTGAATGGGTGACCACAAGTCATCACCAAACAAAGACAAAGATCCCCCCGTATATCCTTGACATACTGCAGGGGCAAGTGCTGTTAGCGAGCACCTATGAAGGCCTGAACGGTACACGAGGTGGTGGGTGGCCAGCACCACGCCCGGCCGCCTTTGTCTCCCTAGTGGCGATGTTTACACATCGCACCAGGTGCTCATTTGAGGCTGAGTCGACCTAACACACACACGCGCAGGCGCCGTGGGCTGCTGTTCGGGGCCTCCTTGGGCTCCAGAGGACAGTGCCGCACCAATCCATTGCTGGGACTGCCCTTCTCTGCTCCAGCGACTTTGCTTCCCACCTTCACCCGCGCTGGCCAGCGTGGTGAAGTATGGTCAAATAGCCCCCCACCACGATCCGTGCCGCGTGGGGAGCCTCTCATCCAGCAGTGGGTTGACAAGGGGCTTGCACGCGAGACGAGTGAAAGGATGAAGGCGCAGCGCTTCGATTCGCTCGCTCACCCCACTTCTGCAAGATAACCCTTCCCCACACCCTACCCCACCACTGTGACGTACCCACGCATCGTGCTTGCTGGGTGGATCGAGGCGGCGGGGGGGATTTAATGAACTCTTTCTGTGCATGGAGATTACTTTAAATTAATAATCATCATCCCTGCTACCGTCGCTCGCTTTACAGGGCTCAGCCATCATCCTGGAGTCGAACGGGGACGTTCTCAGTCCACCCCCAATGAGCACAGAGCAGCCGTGACGCGGTCATTATCAGCACGGGGCAGTGAGTGTCGACGTGGACGTTTTATTGCAAGCTGGCAGCTCGGCCCAGTAGAGGAGCCTCCGGGCCTCTTGATGAGATCCGACTGCGCAACGAATCAGGCGAATTGAACCCAAACGCGTGGACGTATAACGACTTGCGGAGAGACGCACAGACTTGCACGCGTGCATAGAGACCCCCCTATACCGGCATAGAGATCGATACACGTACATAGAGACCCCGTAAACGTATTGAAGATACTCACGTAGAGACTCGTAGACTTACAGAGCCACCCGGACGCTTGCACGGAGATCGATAGACCAACACAGATACCCACATGTAACGGAGAGTCCCTGTGGTGGAGGTGGTCTCTACAGTGGAGATGCCCCTCTAGTGGAATTAGGGCCCTCTGGTGGTGCCTTGTTGTAGAGTTGGTCCCAGGGGTAGAGGTGGTCCATGTGGGGGAGGTGGAACCTTTCGATAAGTTAATGCCATTGGTTGTGGTAGTGCCTCTCGTGGAGATAGTCCCCCCTGTGGTGGAGGCATTCCCTGTGGTGGAGGTGGTCCCTGTGGTGGAGGTGGGTCCTGCGGTGGAGGTGGTCCCATTGGTTGTGGTAGTGCCTCTAGTGGAGATAGTCCCCCCTGTGGTGGAGGTGATCCCTGTGGTGGAGGTAGTCCCTGCGGTGGAGGCGGTCCCATTGGTTGTGGTAGTCCCTCTAGTGGAGATAGTCCCCCTGTGGTGGAGGTGGTCCCTGTGGTGGAGGTAGTCCCTACGGTGGAGGTGGTCCCATTGGTTGTGGTAGTGCCTCTAGTGGAGATAGTCCCCCCTGTGGTGGAGGCATTCCCTGTGGTGGAGGTGGTCCCTGTGGTGGAGGTGAGCCCTGCAGTGGAGGTGGTCCCATTGGTTGTGGTAGTCCCTCTAGTGAAGATAGTCCCCCTGTGGTGGAGGTGATCCCTGTGGTGGAGGTAGTCCCTGCGGTGGAGGTGGTCCCATTGGTTGTGGTAGTCCCTCTAGTGGAGATAACCCCCCCTGTGGTGGAGGTGGTCCCTGCGGTGGAAGTGGTCCCTGTTGTGGAGGTGGTCCCTGTGGTGGAGGTGGTCCCTGTGGTGGAGGTAATCCCTGCGGTGGAGGTAGTCCCTGCGGTGGAGGTGGTCCCTGTGGTGGAGGTGGTCCCTGCGGTGGAAGTGGTCCATGCGGTGGAGGTGGTCCCATTGGTTGTGGTAGTCCCTCTAGTGGAGATAGTCCCCCTGTGGTGGAGGTGGTCCCTGCGGTGGAAGTGGTCCCTGTTGTGGAGGTGGTCCCTGTGGTGGAGGTGGTCCCTGTGGTGGAGGTAATCCCTGCGGTGGAGGTAGTCCCTGCGGTGGAGGTGGTCCCTGTGGTGGAGGTGGTCCCTGCGGTGGAAGTGGTCCATGCGGTGGAGGTGGTCCCATTGGTTGTGGTAGTCCCTCTAGTGGAGATAGTCCCCCTGTGGTGGAGGTGGTCCCTGCGGTGGAGGTGGTCCCTGTGGTGGAGGTGGTCCCTGTGGTGGAGGTAGTCTCTGCGGTGGAGGTGTTCCCATTGGTTGTGGTAGTCCCTCTAGTAGAGATAGTCCCCCCTGTGGTGGAGGTGGTCCCTGCGGTGGAGGCGGGAGCCAGGGGTTTGTATTTCGCGCAACGGCAACGCCGCCCCCTGCTGCACGAGCGGGGCGCCGTGTTTGTGATCACCGCAATTCGCCACCGTTTCCGGTTCCAGCCTTCGCCGACGATGACGTCACTCTCCGGGTAACGCCCCTCCGACGGTGCCCGTGACGTATCTCTCCCCAGGGGCGACATGACGTCACGCGGCGTGGGCGTGACGCCGAAGTGATCCCGGAAGTGGGTGTCGAGGGCTCCGCGTGGTTTGTGTCTCGCGCTCCGCGTGAGTCCTCTCGGGGGAGAAGTCGAAAAGTCGACACCGTGGCGGCAAAACACGCGACGTTCGCCCGACGTTGGCATGCGGTTGCAACCGTTGGACCAACGTCGGCGCAACGTTGAGGTTGCGGTTGGACCAACGTTTGGCCTAACATTCCGTATTTACTGGGCAGTCGTAATCACCACGACTGTTTAATTCGCTCCTCATGTTGCGTCCAACTTAGACCCCCCACCCCTCATCGCGCATCTCGCAAAGATTGGGGGAGTCCTTGATTCTAAACCTCTGCGGATTCTCCGCGGCATTGCTTCACGCAGCCCGGCAGCTGGTGGCGAGGCACTCACTCGATGCTGCTAATGCTGATGGAAGGTTCCAGCCGGCGTTACGGATTGGCCGCTCGAGTCGCGATGAGCCGTTAGTGCGCGAAGCCAATTCCCCTCTCGGTTCACAATTCGCTACTTTTTTTACGTATGGTGGTGGTGTAAGTTGTGTTTGTTGGAGCCAGGGGCCCTTGGAACAGGTCCAAAACATCTTGTTTAAACAGCGTGGTTGACGCACTACGGCATCACCCTGCCTCCCCCACGGCGAACATCAGTAGCGAGTGACTCTGAACCCGGCTCTCCCCCCCCCCGCCTTAACACCCCTACCCACCGGCGTGTCTGAAGTAAACCCGCACCGCCCTCGCAGCCGGCACGGCGTGGCAGTCTTCGCCCGGCAGTTTGTGTTGACAAAGCGGCAGTGAAGTCGAGCGAATTGCGAACGCGGTGAACGGCTCCACGTGCATCGTCGTTACGTCGCCACCTCTTGTGCTCGTTGCGCAACTCCGCCAATGATCATCGCCACGCGAGGCGTTTGCCTGCGCGTCCGTCCGTCCGTGGCTGCGCCGTCAGTCGAGGCCGAACATCTTCACGAATCTCCCCGCTGCTGCTGCTGACAAACATCTCTCTCGCCCCCCCCCCCGCAGAGACAGAGAGAGACAGAGCGAGACAGCGAGCCGGGTTCAGGAGAAGACGGGAGCAGGAGTCGAACCTTCTTCCTCATCATCATCATCCCCACGACCATGAGGTGAGAAGCGGACAGCCGCACCCTTCGGGGAGTCGTGGAGATAGGAGGAGGTGGTAGGAGGAGGTGGTTGGTGGTAGGAGGAGGAGGTGGTAGGAGGAGGTGGTCGGTGGTAGGAGGTAGGAGGAGGTGGTAGGAGGAGGTGTTAAGTTCCGCTACGATGGAGTAACGTCGTGGGTAGGCCCAACGTGATTCAATTTCGGGCAAAATCTGGCTCAAGCGATTCCCTTGCTCAAATGAGCATTGAGGCGGTGCTAATTTCCCGTTTACAGCCCTGAGCCGTTGGTGGAAATTCCACGTTCATATGGCCAGAGCTAGCACCGCAATAACAGCATGACTTTTCCAACAACGAAAACTACGTTCGGTACTTGATAGTTCCGTGAATTTCTGGTTAGGGTTTTTATTCCGAGTTTCTGGGAATAATTTTGATTGAACATGGAGCATTCTGTTTGAATATTCGCACCTTCATGGGATGGTGGCCTCAAATGGTGATGTTATGGCGATGTTATGGTTATTGTAAGTGTTATGGTGAGGGCTATGATGATATTAGGATGATGATGATGTTAGGGTTATGGTGATGTAAGGGTTAGTAGGGTTATGGTGATAATAGGGTTTTGGCGATGTTCGTGCTATGGTGATATTATGGTTATGGTGATAATAGGGTTATGGTGATAATAGGGTTATGGTGATATTATGGTTTTGGCGATGTTAGGGTTATGGCAATGTTCGGGTTATGACAATGTTCGGGTTATGGACGATGTTAGGTTCATGGTGAGGACTGTGGTGATGTTAGGGTTACAGTGATGTTAGAGGCCGGATATTGGTGATGTCACCTGAAGCACACCGACTGCCCTTGGACAGATCGTATCAGAACGTTTATTGCAGAGCCAGGGAGTGGTCGCAGTCACCTGTCGCCGTCGAGCCATCAAACGTCTCGCCGCTGCGCCACTGAACATCGCCGTCTCTCCGCCTCTCACCCCCACCCCCTTCCGCACAGCGGCAGAAGCGCCGTACTCCACCGGGTATCGGTGTTTGCGCTGCAGGACGCCGGCAGCGCCGACCTCGTGACCGGCCTCGCGCTCGCCCGGCCGGAGACCGGGCGAGGCGTCGCCGTACCGGACGACGCGGAGCCGGAAACGCCGGCGGTGCCGGCGGAGGAGGCGGCACGGGAGCGAGCGGGCGCCGGCACCGGCGGGGAGGAGGGAGGCGAGCGAGGCGGATGCTCGGCCTGCCGGTGCCAGTTTGAGAGTCGCGAGGAGCAGGTGAGCGCGCGCGACGCTTCTCGTACGGACGCGGCCAGACCGTAGTCGCCCATTGCGGACGTGTTAAGTACCTTGGTCGGAAATTGAAATTCTTTACGGATATCTCGTCGTGACAATTTGTCGTCGTGGAACCGTCGGCAAATCTCGCTCGGTGACGGAATTGGTGACGGGCATAAACCGTTGTGGCCGATCTCCGCAACGTTTCGCGACGGCTTCTCCGCCCGTGCCGCACCACATGGCGCCTGCGGTGCGCGCCATCTTCCTCTCTCAGACTCACTTCAGTGGCGTTCTCTGGCAAGGTCCCATTTTTATTTTCAACTCTTCTTTGTCGTCGATTTATTTGTTTTCGTCCATCATATTCCCTGTCTACGTCGTGCTCTTTAGACGCCGAATTTCCAGCGCTTCTCTCCCTCGGACGGTTTCTCGCTTTTCAGCATCCAAGCAGTCCCATCGGCTACATGGGGCCCTTGAGGATCAGTTGTCGAGTCTTCATTGAACCCTCCGTCAGCCAAGCGGTTCGTACCGCCTCTGCGGTTCGTACCGCCGCTCTATCGGGTGCATTTGCCATCCCAGTCGTGGTTTGTCCTCTACCCTGGTCTCGTTGGCGGTGCAGCAGGGCACCAGGCACGCGGCCGTGGCACGGCGCGTTGCGCAGAGATCGGCAACCGATTTCTGGAACGGTAGCGAGCGTTATAAATCGACGTAGAACCAAGCAGACGTGGCTCAACATCTTCGGGCCATAAATTCTACAGCGCGCCGACTCTCAGGGCCCTTACTCTCAGTCACGACTCAGCTCCGGCTCGGCTCCTAAATCGGCTCGGCTCAGCTCTTGAGCCGCTCGGCTGCTTCTAAAAGACGCATGAGTAAGCGGCTTGGTTAAAAACCCGTGGCTTTGAGCCGTGGCTCACTTGACCCAGGGCAGAGCCTGCGCCGAACCGTGGCTAAGACTACGGGCCTCACACATGACCAGAAAGTCTCGTCGCCATCATCACCGTGATTGCCGTCATCGCTGCCATCATCATCATCTCCTCCTCCCCCCGCCGCAGGTGGAGCACTACAAGCTCGACTGGCACCGCTTCAACCTCAAGCAGCGTCTCGCCGGCGCCGCCATCGTCAGCGCCGAGGAGTTTGAGGAGCGGACGGGTGAGGAGTGGGCGGCCGCCTCCCGTGACGTCATCAGCCACACCGCCCCCTACCGGCGGAGTAACGGCCACTGCACTGCGTGGCAGGCGTGGTAGACGCAATAAGTGTGGGGATGGCGATGATGATGAATGGGGATGGCTCGTGGTGGCCTTCATCCAGCAGTGGATCGCGTGTGGCCGCAGGTGACATCTCAAGCATCTCCGGCTCGGAATCTGACTCCGAATCGGAGCCGTGGGACAGCGAGCCCGACCCCTCCCAACCTCGCGACCTTCAACCCCGGCGGACGCAGCTCGACGGGAAGACGGAGGAGGAGGAGGGCGGCCCGGCACGGCAGTCGCTCCGCGTGCTCTTCACGAACCGAGCGCAGCAAACGCTGTCGCTGCACCGCTGTGTGCTGCACAGAAAGCAGGTGCCCGGGTAACACGCCTCCACGTGCAGTGAGACGATCGGGAATCGGCACAGCCCTGGTGCCAGAATAGGGTGTCTGGAGAGCCGGGAAATTGTTCAAACCCCCCCCCTTCCCCCGCTTTGCCCACGGTTCCACACGAAGTGAGGGTCCGTGACTCTGGGTCACGATTCGGTTCTAGAACGGATCATCTTTGGTCACTGTGGTGGGTGTAGTATTTGTAGGCGGTGGAGCGGTGGGCACAGCGGTTAGCTCACTGCACTATGAACCGTGCCACCCCATTTTTTTTCCTGGGCACGGTTCACATCAGATAAAACTGATGTCTGCACTGGGCCCGGGCGGGGTGAGGCCTTCGTCCAGCGGTGGATAAGATGTTGGCCGATGACGATTGAGGATGAGACGGGGGTGCGTGGCCGTGAGCGTGCGTGCGTGCGTGCGTTCACAGGAGACCGCGCAGGACGTCGATGCCGTGGGCCGCGTGCTGGCGCTGGACCCTCGCACCAAGTGGGCCGTGCTCCTGGCAGGAGGAGGCCACTTCGCCGGCGCCGTCTTCCAGGGGTGCGTGGGAGACGACCGCCGGTTCCGACGAATCGGAGTTTGTGTGTCTCTCCCTGTGGTCGCGTGGATTTTTCTTCTGCTCCTCCGGTTTTTCCCTCCGCATTTAGAGTATTTGGCTGTTATACATCTCCACGTGATAAGCCACTAAGTTAAGCCATCATTTGGGGCCAAGTCGCTTCTGAAAAAGAGCTGCATAGTAAACATTTTTATAGTTTAGTTTCTCCCCACTGACGGCCGAATAGAACTCGGAAACACTGCGCGTCAACTTGCCCCTTAGCGGTGTCCACCAATAATCCGTGTGTGTCGACCCACTATAAAGAAGCCCTTGCGTTGTTCGAAAATACCGCCCTCCAGCACCCGATTACTGCCCCTACGATGCTGGCAGGAACGGATAAACACTGTGTGCAGGCTCCGGTGGAGTGGTAAGCCTCTACTGCGCTGGTTTTCACGGTCGTATCGCGTGCCGTTCGTCACGATGTCTTACGATGTCCGACGTTTCGCAACCCCGCGCTGGGAGCTTCTGCGAACGGAGCGGCGTTTCCCCGTGCTGCAGGGATACGGTGCTGGAGCACAAAACGTTCCACCGCTACACGGTGCGGGCCAAGCGCGGCACGGCGCAGGGGCTGCGCGACGGGCAGAGCCGCGGCAACGCGCCCAAGTCGGCCGGCGCGTCGCTGCGCCGCTACAACGAGGCGGCGCTCGCCAGGGTACGTGGTCGCGATTCCGCCGCAGCGCCCGGAGCGGAGTCCGCCGTGAGGGCCTCTCTCTAATCTTCGAATCAAGGTCGCCGAGAGTTCGCTCAGAGCTCGCGGATGAAGCGTCCGGCGAGAATCGCACCTGGAGAGGTGGCCGGGGTGGCACAGCGAGCAACTGGGATGAGAATCTAATATCGTGCACAGAGCTGAATGGAAGGAAGTCTGTTGACGTCTTTTAGAAAGGCAGAGAGAGAGGCGAGACGGAGAGAGAGCACGAACGCGGTGACCTGAGTTCCCGGCCATGGCTAACAGTTGCCCGCCCGTCCGTGCGGGTGGTGGTGGTGGCGTGCAGGACGTGCGCGAGCTGCTGGAGAGGTGGGCGCCGCTGCTTCGCGAGGCCGACGGCGTCTTCGTGCGCGCCGCCAGCTACAGCCGGGCGCTGTTGTTCGGCGCGTGCGCACCGCTGCTGGCGCGCGACGACGCCCGTGTGCGCGCGGTGCCCTTCGCCACGCGGCGCGCCACCCACGCGGAGGTGGTGCGCGTGCACCGCGAGCTGGCCGCCGTGCTGGTCTATGGTGGGCGCCAGCGGCCGACACCCACCCCGTCGCGTCCCTACGGATTGCGCATTCGCAGCGGGCCACGGTTGTGTTTAATGTCACGTGCGCATGTATGTAGAACTATTTTCCTATCGTACGTAGCCCACTGCGCTAATCGGTTTGCTACAACTGATGTTGAAATAATGATAGTTATAATATACATTCAAGTATTTACCCAGCAGAGCCACACTGAGTCAGCAGCACCCTGCTGCTGCCACTGCTACATTGTGTTCTTGTTTTAAGAAGTTGTCGGACGATTAATGATGAGTTTGTACGCGTGGGAGGAAAATCCGGAGCGCCCGAAGAAAACCCGCGCATTGCGCGAGCGGGGCGACACTCCGTCCCCGTAAAGATGGAATAAACGGATGGCGATTAGCCCGCTTGCTGTTACCGCCTTCTCCTGGCGAGCCAGCGCATGGCACCTGAGAGCGTCCAACGCGTCGGCTCCGCCCGTTGGTGGGGCCACGACACAACTCTCGCAAGGACGACCCGATTCGGCAGAACTTTTGTAGAAAGCCGTCTCGCCGTCCGGGACTTACCCTCCCTAGAATCCAGCCGCATTTATCTCGGAGGTGGGGGAGGGGGGGGGGTTTGTCCAGCACGTACCTAAAAGCAGGAACCTCGTCAGGCAAGGCGGCGATGGCGAGATTGCGTGCGATGCGACGTCACGAAACGGGAAACGGCTAACGTACTTATCACTCGTCAAACCGTTCCGAGGACGGGCGCTCGTTGTTGGAACGCGTTGGCGACGGGGTGCGTGGTGTTCCCCTCCTCACCTTCGTAGCCAAGGGGACCGACGTGGTGGAGGTGGCGAGCCCCGGCAGGAGGGCGTGGAGGAGAGCCGGGCGCCCCGCGGAGACCGCGGGGACCACGGCTCAACCCGCGGTGCCCTCTCACGGAGGTAACGGTGGCAACCAACAATTTCACACGGCGCCGTCACGGTGGCACTGAGCCGCCACCGCTGAGATCTCGGGTTCCAATCCGCCTTTCAGCCGCTGCCTGTGGTCGAATCCGGGTTCTCAAGCACAGAGAGTCGATGGTCTCAGCCCGGTCGCCAGTGACTGCGCAAAAGATAGCGTTAAACTTGGTTCTCCTTTTAAGGTGGCCAAATTCCACCTGAGAATGAAAGGTTTCTACTGTCGTGCGATGATCAGGGAGGGTGGGAAAGTGCTGCTTGTGAGGATAAGACATCACTTGAAGGGACCTCGAAGGTCGTTCCATGATGCCAGGTTCCACGGGCCGGTCGAGACATCCGGATGGATGCTTCGTGTCGTGAAACGACGCCGAACAACCAATCGGGATAAAATCGGGGAAAAAGATGACGAGAGAAAATGTTGATGTTTGGATGACCGAGCAATTGGAGCGAGCGCACGTCTTTACACAGCAGCTCATGCGTGGAGCTTCACCCATACGGTGACGCGCACGGGAGAGGGACACGCACGGGGACACAGCACACGGGGGGCACATGCACGCCGCTCAATCGCCATCATCGCTAACCGGACGCCTCGGCCTCTTCCCCCCTCCGCTTTCCCCGTCGACCCCATCGGCTCGTCCGCCAGCAGGAGGAACGGGAGACGATGCGGACGATGACGACGACGGCGACGTGACGTTGCAGACGAGCGAGGAGTGTCTGAGCACGGCGCACCTCAGCGAGTACGACCTGCAGCCGAGCCGGGCCGCGCGACGCCGGGCCGCACGCAACAACAACAACAAGCAGAAGAAGCAGCAGCAGCAGCAGCCGCAGCAGCAGCAGCAGCAGCAGAGCGACCTCTCGGAGGGCCAGGAGGAGCGCCACCCCAAGGGTGAGGGGGACGTCGCGTGCACGCCGCGCTGTCCTAAGTGGCTGTGGCGCGGTGCTGCATAGCGGTCGGCAGGAGACAGTATGGAGGCATACGTAGTTGTACTGTACTACTACGCTCCCACGTCTGTGTTCCGCCACCATCGACCCTGGGCCAAGCCGCGTACTGAAGCGGCCCCACGATCCGCACGGCATGGGGATGGCCCTCATCCAGCAGCGGATTGATAAAGGACTGTGCGCGTGTACGTGCCATTATAACAGATTATTATGCAGCGGACCACCCACTGACACCGTGACCTTTGCAGGGTCAGAGGAGAGTCCGGTGCCAGCGCCTGAGGGCAGGGCGGCGGACGAGGCGGTGGACGGGGCGGACGGTTCAGAGGACACGGGGGACGTCACGGCGGGAGACGGAGTGAGTCACGGGAGCCACGAGCAGGAGGAGGAGGAGGAGCAGGGGAAGCGGCGTCCAAAGCGGCGCGAGAAGAAGTCCAAAGCGAGCGCCGGCGCGGCGCTGACCAACGCCCTGCACGCCGGTACCGCTCGCGACGAGACAAGCCTTGAGGTGCCACGTCGCGTCTCCGCTATGGCTGCGTGCGGTTCGTTGTTGTCGATTGTTCTGCCCCGAGAGCTTCGCCCGAGTCTCGGGACTCTTTCAGGAGGTCCCTGCAAAGTTTTCGCAGTAGGGGGGACTGGGAGGTGGGGGCATGTCACTGCTGTGTTTGCCTGAGATCCCAGTTGAGTAACTGCGTGTAACTTTTCAGCATTGGGAAGTTTTGTCAATTTTTATTGGCAAATCTGAATGGGTGTGTGATGTTGTGCTGCGGTGTGCTGCGGTGTGCTGCCCCGCTGGTGCAGGCGCGGCGGACCCGGGCTACTACCGGGTGCGGGACGAGCTGTACACGGCGTGCAAGGTGGGCGACGCGGGCACTCTGCTCCGCATCCTGGGACCCCTGCTGCCTCGCCCTGTTGACCCCCTCCCTCACGAGCTGCCACCCCCCGGGGGGTCGCCCCCTCTGCCCGAGGACTCCGCTTCAGGCTCGCCGCGCGCCCCATCTGGCGGCATGTCCCACGCCCCCGAGAGCACGGAGGAGAGAGGGAGGTTGGCGGAGGGGGCGGCCTTCCCAGAATGCAGTGCGGAGGCGGTGGCGGCCATGCTGGCCGAGGCGGTGGGGGCGGCCGGCTGGACGCTGCTGCACGTGGCGGCCGCCAGCGGGCAGAGGACGGCCGCACGGCTGCTCATGGAAGCCGGGGCAGACCCCACCATCAGGTGTCGCAAACAACCGGCCAATTGATATAATCTCAAATGAATGCACGTCATCAGCATCAGCATCGTCTATGATCTATCCGCTGCTGGCCTGAGGCCCCCAAAACCGTCGCCCTCTCTCACCACCCTCCCACGAGTTTGTTCCGTCGCTCCATCTCCACGATGGACGTTCTCTTGGGTTCATGACCACAAGGGAACATCGTCCCTTCCAGCCACGATGTGTCCTGCCAAAGTGTGCTCGGTTTTATTAATTTTAAATGCAGTCTCAAACTTCAGACCACCGTCTGCAGCCATCGCCGACGGGCCGCCGTGCCGCCGCCGGCACGGCGAGCTCACCGCGTCGCTCTCGCCGTGCGCCCGTGTGCAGGGACAGGAAGGGCCGCCCGGCGTACTGCGCGAGCGCCGACAAGGAGACACGCCACGAGTTCCGGCGCTACGCCGCGCAGCGCCCGGGCAAGTACGACTACGCCAGGGCCCAGGTGGGCGCGCAACGTCGACGACGGATTCTGTCGCTAGATTTTCGCTACTTTTTAGGGTTCCCCAACAACGGGACGTTGTCAAAACGACAAAGCTCTGGTGACTGTCTGGACGAGTCGCATTAAGCACCCTGTATCAGTTTACTGTGTGTATACTTGGTAAGCTGTCTTATGTGTCACTCGGATGACCCTAGGTCTACTCAGTGTGGGCGCCACAGTGGCGAGATGTTAACTATCTCGCCTGGTATAAGGAGGCGTGGGTTGGATCCCGACCCTGACGCCTGTTGTATATTTGGAGTTTGCGTGTCTCCCCGTAGTCGCGTGGATTTTTCTCCGGGTCCTCCGGTTTTTCCCTCCACATTTAGAACCAACACGCATTTAGAGTGTTTCGCTGCCATAAAGTTCCATACGATAAGCCACTTCGTTGAGCTATTTGTGGTCAGTTGGCTTTTGAAAAAGAGCTATATAGCTCAGTGGGCCTTACCTGGTAAAATAAAAAGTTATTTAAGTTTACTCAGCCTTAAATGAATACCTCACTACCTTGTGCGCCGTGCCGGCCACGATAGGCGCTCGCTAACAGCCCTCGGCGTACGCGAGGTCACCGCGCGTCTCGCCGCCCGCAGATCCCGGGCCCGCTCACCGACGAGATGGAGAGCGACCGTGCGGAGCGCAAGCGGGCGCAGCGAGCGGCGCGACGCGTCAAGGACCGCGACCAGCGGGAGGAGCGGCGGCGCCAGGAAGCCGAGGACGCGGAGACGCGACGCTTTGCCTCGCTCAGCGACCGCGAGAAGGTGCCGTTACACCGTCGCCCCGACTCCATTCCGTGTTGTGCCTCGACCAAAACCCGCCCGAGCGACATCTCATTCTAGCGTCGGCGTCGTTCACCTCGAGGCACCAGGACAAATCGCCGCTTGAGATTACTAACGGGAGAATTGTCGAACGAGGAAGCGATGGCAGACCAAATGCGGCGTTATCTGTAACGCTGCTGCACAGACAATACGCGCGCGCGTGTTCGCGATTGCTGCGGGCGCATCCCAACGGGATTGCGCTGCGCAACGCCGAGTCGGTGCCGCCTGTAATACCGAGTTGGTGCCGCCTGTAATACCGAGTCGGTGCCGCCTGTAATACCGAGTTGGTGCCGCGTGTGCAGAGGGCGCTGGCAGCGGAGAAGCGGCTGGCGCAGCAGGGAGCAGCAACGTCGGCCGCAGCAGCAACGCTCGGCAACATCAGGTGCCCCCAACGTGACGCGGGCACGCCAGCACCTGGGCTCACGCGAGTTCGCAAGAATCCCCCGTGTTGCCCTTGCAGGCTGTTGGGGAGAGATTGCTCTGAGTGAGCACCTATTCAGGCTGTCTCCCCAGATATGTATTACCACAGTCACTTTTGTCTGGTGCGTGATTGGGTGTGATCAGGTTTGTATAACTTTAATCGCATTACCCCCCCCCCCCGCCCTGCAAGCGTGCTGCCAGCTCTCTCAACCTCTCGCCGAGTCTCACCCCTTCACTGTGCCCCCCCCCACCTCTCCCATCCCCCCGTGGCCCCCAGGAGGTGCTGGCAGTGTGGGCAGTCCCTACAGGAGAAGACACCCTTCGAGTACTTTGACTTCTCGTTTTGCACCATCGCTTGCCTGCAGCAGCACAAGCGCTCTGGCGCCAGCGCCAAGCCTTGACGTGCCACTGCGTGCAGGCACAGCTCTCCGGTTCACGCGGGTGGACGAGACGTATTCCCGCACGGTGGCGCGTTAAGGGACAAGCTTTTTTTCGTACTTCGAGGTACAGCGGCCAGCGTGGTTGATGCTCGTGCATCGCAGTACTAGAAGGGCCTGGGTTCAATTCCTGAGTCAATGTTCCTCCTGTTCTGCATGGGGTTTCTCCAGGTTCCCTGGTCTCCTAAAACAAACACGCAATGTAACCGGTACTAGCCAAAACATCCACATGCTAACTGCACTGCAAATTACGCGATTGGGATTACACTCATCAACAACATCGCCCCCTACTGTGACACCCGAGCAGAACACCTCCTGAAAAGGAGCCGAGAGACTGAGGTTCTCCTGGTTTAAACAAGCCGAGTCGTAGCAGAGTTTGCAGTGGTCAGCTTAATTTCTCAATGAATATTTTGTGGATGACTATGGTGGTGCCGGGTGCTAATGATTTACCATGTCGCTGCCCTGTTCAAGTATCGTGCCCTGTTCAAGTATCGTACCCTGTTCCTTGAACCCGTTCGTGAACTCGTCAGTTTTGCCTTCATGTGGGCTCTTGTAGAGCAAACAAAACCACCCTGATGCCAAGTCAGCAATTCTAAATTCTTTATGAACTCAAAAAATCAAACGCTTACACCAAACGAGTCATCTCACTGCAATATTAACATTGCGTTTAACGTTGGTTAGAAAACCAATCGCACCCTGAGCATCATTGCAGCGTGACACAAAAGCGTTTCAACTGGACAGAGCGTCGCCCCAATCGGCAAGTGTACAAAGTCACAGGTGATTGCGTCAATAAGAATAGTGCAAAATAAATCGTGTGTGCTGGTAGTCTTCATTCGTTTCTGCCGCCAGGAAGTGGTGGCGATTCGCCGCACTCCCCGCAGCATCAGTGCCAGGGGGCCAGGCCCAGCGGCAGCACCCGCGCAGGGGCGTGCACCGTGCCGTTGAGAACGGGGCGATCCACGAACCGGACCGCACAGGAGACAGGCGAGCACGACGCAGGCGCCGCCTCCAGCTCCAGCACGCTCACATTGTTGGGGGCGGTGGTGCTGAGTGCCGTGGCCGGCACAAACAGCGTGACCTGCGGGCCCGCGGCCGGCCAGTAGCGGCCCAGGTTGAAGCCGTTGATCCACACCTGGCCCTGTGTGTGTGCACACGCGGAACGTGATTCAGCAGCGGTTATTATGAACCTGCGCTAGGAACCCGGCAACCCGGGTTGTGTACGTTGGCGATGTATGTGCGCATCTGAAACTTGAGTGGACATTGGTCAAAGGTGTCGACACTGACATGCATAATTTTACTTCTGGATGAGTATATGTGCTTTCTAATCAATAAAAAAGTAAAAAGCCGTTCCTTGTGTCGTTTTTGGTCCAAAATCGGTGAAAATCTATACTTGTATTTTTAGTAAAAAAATATTTAATTCAAAGAATTGGTAGTAAATTACTAATATAAGGAGCCAAGAATGTCTGTGTAACATGTGTGACGTCACTCCACGTCGACCAGCCCCCCTCAATAATCATGTACAGGTGGGGTCCTCCACATGGACCCCCCCCCCCATCATTAATAATCATGAACGGGTGGCGTCACTCCACATGAAGGTGGAGTGGAAACTAAAATTTGTTTACGCAAATTAACTTACATTTTCACTTTTATGGAAAGCAAAGCGAATAAAGAAATCAACGCAGCAACGAATATAAAGAGCCAAAAAAGTCTGTGTCCTGCACGTGACGTCACTCCACATGCCACACCCCTCCCCAATAACCATTAGCGGGTGACGGCACTTCACATGGAGCAACCACCCCCCTCATTAACAATCATGAGAGGATGACGTGAGGCACACCCCCTCATTAATAATCATGAGCGGTGACGTCCCTCCACATGGGGCACCCCCCTCATTAATCATGAGCAGTGACGTCACTCCACATGGAGCAACCACCCCCCTCATTAATAATCATGAGCGGTGACGTAACTCCACATGGAGCAACCACCCCCCTCATTAATGATCATGTGCGGTGACGTCACTCCACATGGAGCTCCCCCCCTCATCAATAACCATGAGCTGATGACGTCACTCATGTGAACCCCACCCCACATTAATAATCATGAGCAGGTCATTATATTCCATTGAATATTTCAGATTAACTGCAGTACACCCGTCCTTGGATGGGCTGTAGGCTAGTATATGTTATATAATCAATAAAAATGTGAAAATATTGACATTTTCCTGCTAAAAACGGCATACTAACCTATGTCGTTTTTGGTCCAAAATCAATCAAAATTACTACTCGTATTTTTAGTAAAAAAAATATTTTATACCAAGAATTGGTAGTAAATATGCCATATCATCAATAAAAATGTGAAAATATTGACATCGTTTTTCTTGCTCAAAACGGCATACTAACCTATGTTGTTTTTGGTCTAAAATCGATGAAAATTTCTACTCGTATTTTTAGTAAAAAATATATTTTATACCAAGAATTGGTAGTAAATATGCCATGTAATCAATAAAAATGTGAAAATATTGACATCGTTTTTCTTGCTCAAAACGGCATACTAACCTATGTCGTTTTTGGTCCAAAATCAATCGAAATTTCTACTCGTATTTTTAGTAAAAAAAAATATTTTATACCAAGAATTGGTAGTAAATATGCCATATCATCAATACAAATGTGAAAATATTGACATCGTTTTTCTTGCTCAAAACGGCATACTAACCTATGTTGTTTTTGGTCTAAAATCGATGAAAATTTCTACTCGTATTTTTAGTAAAAAAAATATTTTATACCAAGAATTGGTAGTAAATATGCCATGTAATCAATAAAAATGTGAAAATATTGACATCGTTTTTCTTGCAAAAAATGGCATACTAACCTGTCGTTTTTGGTCCAAAATCAATCAAAATTACTACTCGTATTTTTAGTAAAAAAATATTTTATAGCAAGAAATGGTAGTAAATATGCCATATAATCAATAAAAATGTGAAAATACTAACATCGTTTTTCTTGCAAAAATGGCATACTAACCTATGTCGTTTTTGGTCCAAAATCTATCGAAATTTCTACTCGTATTTTTAGTAAAAAAAAATATTTTATACCAAGAATTGGTAGTAAATATGCCATATCATCAATAAAAATGTGAAAATATTGACATCGTTTTTCTTGCAAAAAACGGCGTACTAACCTATGTTGTTTTTGATCCAAAATCAATCAAAATTTCTACTCGTATCTTTAGTAAAAAAAATATTGTATACCAAGAATTGGTAGTAAATATGCCATATAATCAATAAAAATGTGAAAATATTGACATCGTTTTTCTTGCTAAAAACGGCATACTAACCTATGTTGTTTTTGGTCTAAAAAACCTATGTTGTTTTTGGTCTAAAATCGATGAAAATTTCTAATCGTATTTTTAGTAAAAAATATATTTTATACCAAGAATTGGTAGTAAATATGCCATGTAATCAATAAAAATGTGAAAATATTGACATCGTTTTTCTTGCAAAAAATGGCATACTAACCTGTCGTTTTTGGTCCAAAATCAATCAAAATTTCTACTCGTATTTTTAGTAAAAAAATATTTTATACCAAGAATTGGTAGTAAATATGCCATATAATCAATGAAAATGTGAACATTTTGACATTTTCCTGCTAAAAACGGCATACTAACCTATGTTGTTTTTGGTCTAAATTCGATCAAAATTTCAACTCGTACTTTTATTAAAAAATATTTTATACCAAGAATTGGTAGTAAATATGCCATATAATCAATAAAAATGTGAAAATATTGACATCGTTTTTCTTGCAAAAAACGGCATACTAACCTATGTCGTTTTTGGTCCAAAATCGGTGAAAATTTATACTCGGATTTTTAGTAAAAAAATGTTTTATACCAAGAATTGGTAGTAAAATTACTAATATAATGAGCAAAGAATGTCTGTGTAATGTGTGTGACGTCACTCCACGTCGACCAGCCCCCCATCATTAATAATCATGAACGGGTGACGTCACTTCCTAATGAAGGTGGAGTGGAAACAAAAATTTGTTTACGGAAATTAACTTTCATTTTCACCTTTATGGAAAGCAAAGCTAATAAAGAAATCAACGCAGCAACGAATATAAAGAACCAAAAAAGTCTGTGTCCCGCACGTGACGTCACTCCACATGCCACACCCCTCCCCAATAACCATTAGCGGGTGACGGCACTCCACATAGAGCAACTACCCCCCTCATTAATAATCATGAGCGGTGACGTCACTCCACATGGGACACCCCCCCTCATTAATAATCATGAGCGGTGACGTCCCTCCACATGGGGCACCCCCCTCATTAATAATCATGAGCGGTGACGTCACTCCACATGGAGCAACCACCCCCCTCATTAATAATCATGTGCGGTGACATCACTCCACATGGAGCTCCCCCCCTCATCAATAACCATGAGCTGATGACGTCACTCATGTGAACCCCACCCCACATTAATAATCATGAGCGGGTCATCATATTCCATTGAATATTTCAGATTAACTGCAGAACACCCATCCTTGGACGGGCTGTAGGCGAGTATATGTTATATAATCAATAAAAATGTGAAAATATTGACATTTTTCGGCTAAAAACGGCAACTAACCTATGTTGTTTTTGGTCTAAAACCGATCAAAATTTCTACCCGTATTTTTAGTAAAAAATAAATATTTTATACCAAGAATTGGTAGTAAATATGCTATATAATCAATAAAAATGTGAAAATATTGACATTGTTTTTCTTGCAAAAAATGTCACTAACCTATGTCGTTTTTGGTCCAAAATCAATCAAAATTTCTACTCGTATTTTTAGTAAAAAAAATATTTTATACCAAGAATTGGTAGTAAATATGCCATATAATCAATAAAAATGTGAAAATATTGACATCGTTTTTCTTGCTAAAAACGGCATACTAACCTATGTCGTTTTTGGTCCAAAATCGGTGAAAATTTATACTCGTATTTTCAGTAAAAAATGATTTAATACCAAGAATTGGTAGTAAAATTACTAATATAATGAGCCAAGAATGTCTGTGTAACGTGTGTGACGTCACTCCACGTCGACCAGCCCCCCATCAATAATAATCATGAACGGGTGACGTCACTCCGCATGAAGGTGGAGTGGAAACAAAAATTTGTTCACGGAAATTAACTTTCATTTTCACCTTTATGGAAAGCAAAGCTAATGAAGAAATCAACGCAACGAATATAAAGAGCCAAAAAAGTCTGTGTGTCCCGCACGTGACGTCACTCCACATGCCACACCCCTCCCCAATAACCATTAGCGGGTGATGGCACTCCACATGGAGCAACCACCCCCCTCATTAATAATCATGAGAGGATGACGTGAGGCACACCCCCTCATTAATAATCATGAGCAGTGACGTCACTGCACATGGAGCTCCCCCCCTCATCAATAACCATGAGCTGATGACGTCACTCATGTGAACCCCACCCCACAATAATAATCATGAGCGGGTCATTATATTCTATTGAATATTTCAGATTAACTGCAGTACACCCGTCCTTGGACGGGCTGTAGGCTAGTATATGTTATATAATCAATAAAAATGTGAAAATATTGACATTTTCCTGCTAAAAACGGCATTTTCACCTTTATGGAAAGCAAAGCTAATAAAGAAACCAACGCAACGAATATAAAGAGCCAAAAAAGTCTGTGTCCCGCACATGACGTCACTCCACCTGCCACACCCCTTCCCAATAACCATTAGCGGGTGACAGCACTCCACATGGAGCAACCACCCCCCTCATTAATAATCATGAGAGGATGACGTGAGGCACACCCCCTCATTAATAATCATGAGCGGTGACGTCCCTCCACATGGGGCACCCCCCCCTCATTAATAATCATGAGTGGTGACGTCACTCCACATGGGGCACCGCCCCCTCATTAACAATCATGAGCAGTGATGGCACTCCACATGGGACACCCCCCCCTCATTAATAATCATGAGCGGTGACGTCACTCCACATGGGGCACCCCCTTATTAATAATCATGAGCGGTGACGTCACTCCACATGGGGCACCCCCCCGGCCCCCCATTAATAATCATGAGCGGTGACGTCACTCCACATGGGGCACCTCCCTCCATTAATAATCATGAGAAGTGACGTCACTCCACATGGGGCACCCCCCCGTCATTAATAATCATGAGCGGTGACGTCACTCCACATGGACCTCCCCCCCTTCATCAATAATCATCAGCTGATGACATCACTCATGTGAACCCCACCCCCTCATTAATAATCATGAGAGGATGACGTGAGGCACACCCCCTCATTAATAATCATGAGCGGTGACGTCCCTCCA